CCACTAGGTTCAACCATCTTCCCGTCCATGAATGAGGGTGTTGTTTGCAAGTGCCCTGTCCTTTTTGAACTTGATATATTGAGTAAGAGGCAAATAAGTTGTCTTTCTAATTCACAGGTCACTGGACAAAGTAGTGACTGTATCGTACATATCCTCACCTGATAGAAAGGACCACCCATCACCAAGAGATCCTGTACGTTCAGGTTGATTTAATGACTAAATGGGACTTTGGGTTGTCTGTCTTAGGGATGGGATGATTGTGTTCTTTATGTGTGAGAAGTGAGAAAAGGGAGAAAGTGATAGAAACTGTTAGTTCTCACCAGAGAGTCAAGTGCTCCTCTTCGTTTCTCAGGCTCCTTTGCAGGTATGCTGGAGTCAAATGATCAGGTGAGGCCAATGGGGTGTAGGCAGAAGTGATGTGAGTTGCTTCCATCCCTGGCTCTTTAATGCACCTGACACAATCTATCAACCCTCTCTCCTCTTGCCTCTGTGAACTTGGAGACCACACATTCCAGATGACAGCTATAATTTACAAGCAGCTTGAATCTTTGAGTCAATCAATCCTTAGAAGAGAGCACTTTTGGCAAGCTACCTACCAACATCAAGTAGTGACACAAACAAAAATAAATATCTGTGGCAGTCAGCCTCTGAGATTGCTGTCACTGTTGCTGAAGCACAGACCAGCATTACCATGACCACTGGCCCAGGGAAATAGCTTCAGCATCCTGTGCCCCAGTTTTCCACCTTCATACAGAAGAGTAAAGTTGATTGTCCCAAGATATGATATAACGTAACAGTAAGAATATTTTAATTAAAATGCTTTGGTTTTCCTCAAGGCAACTCTGGGAAGCAGGCTTCAGTTTTATAAATAATTGCACAGAAGAGGAAAATGCTAAACTTTTCTCTATCTCCGTTTTCTCATTTTTAAAATGAACTTGATTAGAATACCTATTTCATAGGTTAGTTGGGAAGATTAGCTAAGTCAACCCATATGAAATGAAATAATACAGTGCCTTGCATAGATTGTGTAGGTTAGCATTTTTATTGAGAATTTTCTATTTGCTAGACACATTGTTGGAATTTTTATAGTAACATATTGTTTGGGGTAATTTTCTTCCAAAAGTAACAAGAAACTGCAGACATGGCCTCAGTGACCTTCTTGTGAGAAGGAGAGGTAGCAGACCCTAATTCTCCATTTTGCACAAGAGAAAATTGAGACTGAGAGCTACAATGTGGTAAAGATTTCTCTAGACGGGAGTTAAGAAACAGGGGTTCTAAAATCAGCTCAGCATAGAACACACTGAGCACCTTAGGGATTTTGTTGCTGGTTCCCAAGGCTCAGTTCTCTATTTTTGTTGTTTTTAAGAGAGGGCTGGAATTAAAATAAATGTTCACATCTCTTTGACATCTGTCTCTAACTTTGCAATATTTGAGGAAATCTGGAGCAGAACTGTAAATCAAAGCCAGAGTTCCTGAGTCCCAGGATTCTTTTCTGCTGATCACTTTCCATTCCTTGTAAAACACTTAAGAAGCCAAGATTTTGTTTTCACAGTGGGGGACACATTTCCTGCCCATAGCTCAGGGCCATTCCTGACCAAGGACCCCATTCATCAGGCACCATATCACAGGAAAGTAGTGGATCTACTCTAGGTCCTTGCTGAATGAGAAGGCTTCCAGGAAGAAAGAGAAAAAAAAAAAAAATCCAGTGAATCTGCCCCTACTTGCTGGAAATAGCCAGGCAGCTGGATGGAACAGTGACTGAACTTGGATGTCTAAAGATCTATTTTATTTATTTCTGCTGAGGTTTCTTGGGTCCAGATTACATCCAAAGCCCAGGAAGGAAAACCCAAACATTGAAAATCGTTTGCTGATAGGGCTCTCTAAACTCCCAAGAGAGTTATGCAATTATTCCTACTAATATAACATAATCACTCAACTATGTCAGCCGAACACCTCTGAGGTCAAAAACACTTCAAAGTTCTTGTATTGACATAATTTTTAAGACCTCACATCTCCCAGATGTGCAACTCTGGCATTCCTGGAAACCATTCCTAGGGAAGCATGTCTTTACTTGCAAGCAGTGGAAAAATTTGGAAGAGTATATGGAGAAAACCATCTGCCCAGACTCTGAGTCCCTTTCCAGCATCCCCTGGCCCTCAAAATCTGTCCCATTTCGTAATAAATATGGACTTCTGCTTACTGAGCACCTATGGTCATCTGGTCACTCTTCTAAGTACTTTATATGTATCAGCTCATTTAATTCACACAAAATCCTCTAAGGTAGTCATGATTATTGTCCCCATCTTAACCTAGCAGAGAGGCATTAAGTAAGTTGCCCATGGTATTAAAGCTAGTCAGTGGCAGAGCCATCATCCGAACTCAGGTGTCCTGGTTCCAGAGTCCACACTAGACTACCTCACCTGGAGCTGTGACAGTAAGAACAGAGAAGAACCAGGTTTTCTGGCCTCTACTTGATCCCTTTTTAGGTGATTGCAGACCAGTTATTATAGATGGACACTTAGAGAGCTTGTAGGCCAGCCAGAGCACTCTCCAATCCTGTGCCCATGACAGACATCATCAGTCAACCACAGCAGTCTTCTACTAACCCAAGGCAAGTCCTCACAGTCCTTCGTAACACACCTGTCTGGTGTGTTAAGAATGTGCAGGAAAAGCCAGTAAAGCACCTTGTGGAGCCTCCATGCCAGTATTCGATGCTGTAATTCACCTCAGAGACCCCATTAAAGACTTTTCCTTTCTTTGCACCCTCTCCTAGTAGAGTGTCAAGGGTCATGTACAAAGGGTGGGTTCTTGTGTCTCCTACCTCTTTGATGTTTTAACCATCAGATATCTAGTCTGTGATGCATGCTCAGGGAGCGTAGTGGATTGAGTTATATCCCCTGAAAACTCACTGAGGCTTGAATTGTGTCCCAAGTTTTACATATTAGAAACTTAGCCTCCACTGTGACTAATAGGTGGGAAATCCTATTATGGTAATTAAAGGTGGAGCCTTGAAGAGGTGATTAGATTGTAGGACCATGCCGAACTGAATGGATTAAAAATGGTGGTCAGGGGCATGGAG